AAAGAAATTTCACAAAAAAAAGTGAAACTTGAAGTAGGCATACTGAAGATGTGAGTAGCAGAAGTGTAGCAGAGTTTGCTGATGTCTCCTACACTAGCTCTCCTGCGGCTGCTGCATGCTCCTCCTTCCTCTGCTGCTGCAGAGGATCAGCGATGCCCTCGGTTTTGGAGACCTGAAAATCCCCACTTGCCTCCTGGTGCTCAGCGACTACCTGGCGGACAAGCGCCATGTCGAGGGGTATGTGCCATCACAAGCAGATGTTGTGTTTGAAATGGTCTCCAGCCCAACACCTGCCAATTTGTATCACGCCCTACGTTGGTATAATCACATCACGTCTTCCAAAAAAGGAAAAGGCCAGCCTGCCAGGAGTGAAGAAAGCTTTGGGCAAGGATGGCCCTGCTAATATGGAAGACGTCCCAGGAAGTAGAGCTACAGATAGGAAAGACGATGATGACATTGATCTCTTTGGATCTGATGAGGGAAGTGAAGAAGCAAAGAGGCTAAGAGAAGAATGCCTTGCACAGTATGAGTCAAAGAAAGCCAAGTCTTCCATCTTATTAGATGCGAAACCTTGGGCTGGTGAGATGGAAATGGCAATGTGAGAGGAGCGTGTCAGGAGCATTCATGCAGATGGCGTGGTCTGGGGCTCTTCTAAACTAGTTCCAGTGAAGCGTGGAGTTGAAAAACTTCAAATACAGTGTGTAGTAGAAGACAATAAAGTTGGAACCAACATGCCAGAGGAGCGGATCACTGCTCTTGAGGACTATATGCAGTCCATGGACGTGGCTGCTTCCCACAAGGTCTAAAAGACACATGGATCATCGCTCTTAAATGAAAGCTTGAAAGATATAAGAATGGTGGGACATTCCAGGTGGAGGGACAATCGTGAAGGCCAAAGGTGAAAACGAGCCTTGTAAATCCGTGAGTCAGTGTGGAGCCTGCTAACCTGAGCTTAGGCAGATTGGGAAGGGGAGGCTTTGAGAGCTGGGAGTGAGAAACTCAGATCGGACGTGCTAGGAAGAGGGAGCGTGTGAAGACATTTGAGCAGTTTAAGGAAGATTACAGGGTGCGGATGGGCAGAAAAGTCTGGGGAAAAAGAGCAGTTTAGGAACTAGGACATGTTTGGGACATCTGCCTGTAGATATGAGCCCTTTTGTGTATATTTTTGCTGATGTCTCTAAAGATAAATGCAATAGAAAAATTAAACATATGTTACTGCCAAGAAACTCCTTAATGTGAGAAAACAGAAGGAAGATTAAGAAATTAATTTCAGAGAGTCATTTAAAATATTTCTGTCGACAAGTCTATTTGTTTATTCAAACTGCCTTTCTGCTTCTCTTTAGTCACTAATGATTGCCCATAACAGATGTGTCAAATTTTACATAGGTGAGAATTACACACATCTTCTACACAAGGAGAAGTCACAGTCAATATTTTCACCAATGACATTTCCTTTTAATGCTCAAAGTCTTACTTGAGCTAACACGTTATTATCTATATTAATAGAAGTGATGAATGCCTTTTGAGTTTGCTGATGCCTCCTACACTATCTCATTCATTCAAGAAAAAACATTTAATGAATAACATCTTTGTAGCAGGCATCATATTGCATATGATTATATAATGATGAAGAAACTGGACTTTAACTTCAGCACTTAGTAGCTATAAGGTCTGGAGCAAATTACTTATCCTCCAAACCTCTCTTTCTTCATAGGTAAAATGGGGACTATATAAAAAAGTCTACTTTTTATTGTAGTTGTGACCATCCAATGAGCTGATAATGTATCTAAGTGCTTAGTACAGGGCTTGGCTCATAGTTAAAGCTCGATCTTGCTATATTACCGTTGTACAGCTTTTGCTTTTAGTTGATGAGGGAGGTATGTATCATCATTGTTAAAATAATGCAGGGCCTAGGAAGCCTGGTATAATTTTAGAAGTCAGGCAGAGACACGGAGACAGCAGCTTGCTTGGACTATGCCTCTCCTCCCAGGCAGAGTGGCTGACAGGCCTGCAGCAGTGGGAGATGTTCCAGCTACTCAGAGTGGCTTGCTCTTTTTTCGCATAGGGGCACTATGGGGTGCAGATAATTGTTCTAGGTATTCCTAGTTCTTTTAGCTAACCCCCCTTTTCTCCCAGGTCTTACGTTGATATCACAGTAGGGTGGGATGGGAGGATGGAAGGAATAGTAAATGTTAGTGCTACTTAGAGCAAAAGCTCAAGTCTTCACCTGAGCCATGTTCCAAAGCAGACCATGATAAATACAGGGAATATATATTCTGAAAGAGAGAGAGAGAGAGAGAGAGAGAGAGAGAGAGAGAGAGAGAGAGAGAGAGAGATTATATGTCCCAACATAAATGTTGTGCTTTTTCCAAGTGTGAAAGCAAATTATATACAATACATCATAACTTTGGGAACATTTCAATAGTTGTATGGGGACAATGGAATACTTTGAAATTGTACTATCTAAGTTTAAATGAATTACAATTAAATGCAATTTAAATTTTAGATCCATGTTTTCATTAGCCACATTTGGCCAGTGGTCATTGTATTGGACAGTGCAGATATAGAATACTTCCACCCTCACAGGAAGTGCTACTGCTGTAGACTGTGTGGTTGGTATAGGAATAGACTTCCAGGGAAGAGTGCAATCTTGGACCAAATACCCTACAGTAAATCCTCAGTTCACACAATCCTCTCCTTAGCCCTCCTGCATAGGCTTGGGCTGCAGAGACCCTTCCTTCAGATCTTAACTCCCACATGACTAGCCGTGCGGCTCTAAGCCCCTCTCCTCTCTTGGCCTTGGTGCCTTCCTCTGTGAAATGAGGGAGTTGGGCCAAATGAGATGTTTTTAAAATATATTTTTGTTGATTTCAGAGAGGAAGGGAGAGGGAGAGAGAGCTAGAAGCATCAATGATGAGAGAGAATCACCGATCGCCTGCCACCTGTATGCCTCATACTGGGGATCGAACCCTCAACCCTGGCATGGTTCTAACCCGGAATCTAACCATGACCGCCTGGTTCATAGGTCGGTGCTCAACTACTGAGTAATACAGGCTGGTTGAGATTTTTTTTTTCTTCTTAAGCTTTAAAATTCAGTGATGTAATGAGTCTTTTCCCAGGAGCATTGAGTTCAGGGGTCTTCCTTTGATAAATGACTTGTTGTTTGAAAAACAATGACCTCTTGGCAGAGGTAACAGCAGAACCTCCTTCTTATGACTCAATATTTCCTACTGTGTCTATGCAATTTTATGCTCTTGGAAGTAGCATACTTCTCTTTTAAAAAGGCCTTGTTGCATTCACATGAGTTAGTGACTCACCTGAGGGTGTACAGACTGGGGTTCTGGTGAGAGGAATTCTTAGCAACTAAATTCCCAACTAGGTTGTGAAGGACGGCCTTCTAACTTGTGGGCTGCTCAGGTCCAGTTTGATTTTTCGTCACGGTTTTTCCCCAGCCTTCGCCAGAATGGAACCCACAGTCTTCAACCAGCAGCAGCCATAACACCTCTGCTGGCCTTCTGCTTCCTGCCTGCTGTGGTCAGAAGGAAGGCATCTCTCTTCTCAGAAGCATCTTTGTTTAGCAGCTTTAAACGTGTGGGCAAGTTGTTGATAGCTCTGGCTGCTCTGGGTAAAGATTTGTTTCCTACTGACCTGAGGAGAAGGTCATTATGTTGCATAAGAGCCATGACTGACCTTTCTTGCTAAGGTTCTAATGGGGATTTGGGGAGAGAATCTGTCCTTCCTGCAAAATGATGAGTGTATAGTCCTAGATCCTCAAACTGTCTCTGTCACTGGACTGCTGTGTCTTTGGACAAGACCCCAATCCCCTCTGAGCCTTAACACCCTATAACCCTTCTGTCCATCTAGGTTCAGGAGTTGTAACATATACATACTATGGGTGTTCTTTCAGCTTCCTGTTTCCTATAGAAAAAGAGTATGCACTGAGAGCACAACTGGCTAGTGTTCTTAGAAATAAATAAGCCCTATGACTTGAATAAGAAGAAAGAGAGGGGAATAGGTCTTTCATTTGAGCAGCTTTATTTAACTCTTTCAAAAGCACCAGGACATATTTGCTGTTTTTATTTCAATTAAAACCCATTTAATTAATTTAAAACTTATTAAAATATGGATTTTTACATTTTAGAAGTTATTCTAAAAAGAAAGAAAGCTGTGTTGTTTTTCTTTTGTCAAAGCCCTGGTCATCCTTGGTTTACCCTTGATGTTTCTGTGGTGATCCTGTGTGATTTGCTTAGCTTTCTTTCAATTAAATGTGTTCTAATACCATCAATAACGGAATTTTATCTTTCTATTCTCTCTCTCTCTCTCTCTCTCTCTCTCTCTCGTTCTTCTTCTTTTTTTTTCTTTTTTCTTTTTTTCTCTCTCTCTCCCTTTTGCTTCCTCTTTAGCCTAACCTCACTGCCCAGGCCCCCTTCGGAAAAAGGTTGCAGTTTCCAGCTCGTGTGGAAGAGGGAGGAACTGTAGTCCCCCCATTCCCTCCCTTACCCTCCCGCCCCGCTGCGGGGAATTGCTACGGTTTTAGTCAGCGGATCTGAGTGTGCGCGGCACGCACACGCGCTCTCAGACACGCCCGTCTGCAGACCTGGTGTGCGCGCGTGTGGCTGCAAGTGCATGCACACGCCGGCACGCCGTGTGTGCGTGTTCACGTGTGCGTGTGCGCGCGTGTGTGCGTGTTCACGAGTGCGTGTGCGTGCGGTGCGCGCTCACGCGGCGCTCCCCTCCAGCGGCCGGGCGCTCCCCTCCGGCCGGCGGTCCAGCCCCCCGCGCCCCCGCTGTCTCCATAGGAACGGCGGCCGCAGCGGCCCCCCTGCAGAGGCTCCGGGGGAGCATGCCCAGTGGAGCCGCTAGTTTGGCTCAGGGCCGGCTTCCCGTGAGCGGCGTGCCGGACCCCGGAGGAATCCCCACGAGCGGAGCGGAGCCTTTGTGTGCAAGGGAGGAGCGGCGCCGCCGGCCCGCAGCCCCGCCCGGGAGCCCCGGGGGGAACCATGCTAGCGTGCCTGGCCCGGGGGAACTTTCTGGACGTCCTGCAGGAGGGCTTCAACGAGGTAACTGCCCCTCCCACTGCCCGGCTCCCCTCCCCCAGCGCCTCCCGCCTCATCCTGGCACCAGCCCCTCAGCCCTCACCCCCGCGAGGACCCCAGAGCCATCCGCCATCCGCATGCAGGGCCCTAGGTCGGCTTTGGTGGGAGGGTGCCGACCAGACAGTGAGCCCAGAGAAATCACAGGGGCCGCCTGCTTCCAGCCACGCTGGGCATTGCCCTCTCCTGGCGGCCAGCCTGAGCCCAGAGGACAGGACCACAGACCCGGAGGCCGGCTCCTTCCAGCAGAGGCGGCCTCCGCTCTCCCCAGGGATTCTCCCAGAGGAAATTCCCGAGTATATGGCCGCAGTGCCACTCTATGTCAGGAGCTAACGGGAGAGCGGAGGGAAAGATGGGTGGCATTGCATTGGTAGAAAGTTTGAGCGGGCAGGGTGAGCAGGTAGGTGGTTCATATGAAGTGCCCTCTTCATCTTGATACATTTTTTTACACCCAGGGTAGTAGATTTCTCCACAACCAAGGGCATGGTTGGCAGAGAAGACGTAAAAGGAGAGAAGGTCTGGGTTTCTGGGCTCAATTCAGGGGAGTCAGTATTTGCTCCCTTCTGTGTGAGAGTGGGGAACCGGGGCCCCCATCTGACAGGCAGTAAGGGAGAGGGCTGGCTAGTCTTTTTCTCTTCACTGTTTTCTCTGTTACTTATTACATTTCTTTTCCTTGTGACCTAGACAATTCGGATTTAGGATCCTTCCCCCTTGCGATTTGACCCATGTGTCTTTCATTGCTTCTGAGCCATACCCTTTGCCTTACCCCAGGCCCCAAGGAGACCCCTACAAGGAGACCTAGACTGTCAGTTGTGTCTTGCTTCTTTCTCCTTTTCTTTTCACCTCTCCCTCTCTTCCTTCTCTTCCTTAAATTTAAGATTTTTTTTTAAAAAACCGGTCTTTAAACAATGAACATATGAGAATCTTCTTTTCTTAAAGATGAACATAACAGGCAAGACAGTGCCTTGGCCGTCCCTGCAGTCTTTCCCTAGAGGTAGCCATTCTCATGAATTTGTGTGTAAGATTTTCTTGCTACAGCAGCACGACAGGCTCTTTCCTCAACTCCTGTTTCTAATTAAAAAGTTCTGCAGCCTGACCTGTTCCAGAACCTTCTCCAGTCCTGGCCCCTGTGCCCAGCCTTGTTCCTGACACAGAGAGGAAAGTGGCAGAGATGCGGTCCCAACCTCACCCACTTGAGTTAGGATTTTCCTTTGGCTGCGGCTGTCCCAACCCTCATTGGAGGGCAGTTTGCATCCTGCCTGCACTGCAGGGCTCCTCATCTTTGCACCGGTTCTCTTTGAACACATGTCAGGGGGTTGTTAACAAAGAGCTACAGCCATTCGAGCCAGAAGCCACCTCTTTGAGTGCTTCCAGCATTCCCAGTTCCTTTTCTCTGTCTTTGGCCTCTCCATGGTCTCAAGCGTCACATCTGACTTATCCACCAATTGTGCAGAAGCTCCCTAGGTCCTCGTCTGGCCTCCCCTTTTTTAAACTCGGTCCCAAATAGCAGGTCCCACTGTCTTGTCAGGAGGAGAGAACCAGCACAGAGTCAGCAGTCTTTGCCTTCTCTTTCTCACTTCCTAACATTTCCACCGAAGAGCTTTAGTGTGTCCACAAATGTCCCCTGACCTCCAGGTGTTATAAATCATAAGGGAGAGGGAGAGTGGGAGAGTTGTCTTTTTGTGGCGGTAATGGAGTCTTAATAAAAACAAAACAACAATAAATGAAAACAATAGACACACAACTTTATTAATTTACCTCTAGAATAATGTAGTAATGCCTCTTTTTTCTGACATTTGATTTTTCTGTCTACTATACTGTACACTTCCCATCTACAGGCTAATGTATAATTTATTCCCTTCTATTAGTGTATTTGAACTCTGATAGCCAATCAGTGTTTTGATTTCTCTGAGAAATTGACATAATCTAAATAATATTAAATATCAGATGTCCCTTAAAGTTTAAATAATTATTTTACACACATAATAAATTAATTGAATAATTCTTTTCACAGACTGTATCACATTTAGTGCTACCGAATAATGCTATGATTAGTTATTTCAGAGATGACGGGGCCCTAATTGACCTATTCCAGCCTCTAGGATTGCTTAATAGATCCAAGTATATTCAATCTCTTTTGCTAGAGTCATGTGATAAGGATATAGATAGAGACTTAAAGGCCAGTGTCAGAATACACTTCAGTCCCTTTGAGAAACTCCTTTTACTGAGGCTAAGAATATCACACATATCCAGTCATCTCTGGGGAATGACCCAGGCCTGTCTGAAGCTATTCTTCATCACCCAGATGCTTTTAAGGTCTGTGTGGTTAGGGCCGTAACGGCATTCTCTGTGGCAGAGAAAACTGCCACAGGAAATGAAGTGTGGCCCTGATTGATTAATCATTAGGGAACCATGCAGCAGAGAGAAACCCCGTCCTTTGAATCAAGGCTTTCCTCTACCCACTCTCAGCCTCTGTTCTAAACCATATGCCACTATGCATAACTGTGCATGGCAGAATTTTCTTCTATTATGTTCCCTGAATAACTCTGGTCTCAACACAACTGACAGATTACTCACAGAATTGATTCATGTCAATGCAGTCCCTTTTACTGGCATAGTTAGTCTGCATTGTGAATTATCCACAACTTTTGGCTGCAGCCACATTCTGTAGCTCACCTGGCTGTCATCTCCAGCTCCTATGTTTTGGGCCTGCGCTTTGTATCATTTGTTCCCATTCTGATCTGTTTCAAAGCTATTTATTTGTTTTCTCTGCCACTTGGTATTGAGGTCATATGAATATTATCTTTGGTTAACATGCCAAGTGTTTTTTCTGCAAGTGTTTTTCTAGGGGCTAGACTTTCTTTAAAAAGTACTTTAGTGCATGTGTTGGAAGATTTGTAGTCTGGCAAGTAAGCGTTCATTCATTCCACTATTTAATTCAGTTACTGGATTTGGAAATGGATAAAACAGTAGAAAAACAACTAGTTCCTGCTTCCAAGGAATTAATAGGAAGAGATTTATGGGTGTACTATAAGAACCATATCAGGATGCTTAATGTGATCTGTACCATAAAAGAGGTAGAGTTTGTGGGATATTATACATATATCTTCTACTTAATAACATCATGAAAAGTACAAAATATTCACCAACTGACCTGCTCCCTGAGACCAGACTTTTCTTCCTGCTAATCTGGAAAACATGCATGCAAGTACTCACTTCCAGACAGTCACTGAATCACTGTTTATCAGGCACTGTGCCAGGTTCTGGAAACAGACGTAAAAAAAAACAAAAACATAGTCTGTGCCCTGGTGGAGCTCACAGGGCAAGGAAAATAAAGTCAGTGGCCTGAGCATCAAACTTGGGAAGTGGTGGTGAGGTAGAAATCCTGCTTGTTGGGCAGTGAACAGCCTGGCTGGAGTATGAATGGCCCAAGGGACTGAAAATTGTTGAACTGATTTGTTAAAATATTGGTCAACAGGAAATCAGGTGTCCGAGCCTTAACCTCTTAAGCACATAGCCTGGGAGGCTTTCCCCACCAGTTCTTCTCCACGTAGAAAAGTAGAAATTTAAATCTCAAAGAGAGACCCATCTGCTTGGTAGCCCCTGAGAAACACAGGGAGAGCCTTTGGCGCCATTCCCACACGGGGGACACAGGGCCAGTGAAGAAGAGGATTGGCATGTGGAGCAGCTGCAGCCGCCATCTCTCCTGAGTGCTTCCCGCCTTCCGCAACCTGGGGCCAAGCAGAGGCTGTCAGACGTCTCCACAAAGACGTCTCTGTGCTCTGCTGTAGAAATTAAAGGCCAGTTAAGTCTTTAAGGAAACAAAGCACCACACTCCCCCACCTTCTTTTTTCTTTCTCCTGACTGATTTCTCCACTCCTCACCCAAGCTCACTGGCTTGATTCCCACAGGAGTCAATGCCAGCTAAACAGATGCTCCCTGGCAGCGAGCTCTCAGGCAGCGTTATGTTCCTCCTGGTGAGTGATGGGCTGGCCAGGCCTGCGGAGCAGTGATAGGGCACCGTTTGCCAGGTGGCACTTCCCCAGGATTCGCCCTGTTGTGGAGGTTGTGAGGACTGGAACTTTCCTGAACCCAGGCCCTGGTTAAGTGGTCATGGAGGTAGCATTCAGTGGTCATGTTATTAGTGGAAATGGAGTTCTTGGGGTGCCTCAGGGAAAACAATTTCCCCATTGGAGCATGGGATTTTGTGGAAAACTTTATTGATGATGTAAAAGTAAGGGGTTTGGGTGAGGATTAAAAAAAAAAAAAAAAGTGCTAGCCGGTTTGGCTCAGTGAATAAAAGTAAGGGGATTTCCCTCCAAAGTCCCATCTCTGTGTCCTGCCATGGAAAAAGTCCAATCTTGTCTTCAGCAGGGCTAGGATCAAGGCCACTGCCCAGACTTTCTGTCCCATATTAAGTTACAGTCCAGCTTGACCGGTTTGGCTCGGTGGTCAGAGCGCTGGCCGGCAGACTGAAGGGTCGCGGGTTCAGTTCTGGTCAAGGGCATGTGCCACAGTTGCAGGCTCAATCTGCTTGTGCAGGAGGAAACCAAAGGAAAAAAATATCCTCAGGTAAGGATTAACAACAGCAACAACAACAAAATTACAGTTTAGTTCAGCATCTGACTAGCTTAGCTTGTCTTCCCAGCTGCAGTTCATCGCATGTGGGGTCCTCAGGGACATGGACCATGCAGCTGCTTACGGCCATATGGTAGGTTAGCACACAGGCAAATGCTGGTCACAGAACAAGTGAGAAACAGGAGTGCAAGAGCAAGAGAGCACAAGGCAACTCTCTTTGGAGATTTTAATCTTCTAGGATTTCATGGGCTTCCATTAGGCTCCACCCTCCTAGCCAATGATCTTTGTCCCAGGCTAGACTGACAGGCAAGCACCTTTTCTATGTCACCCCAACTTAACTGCACATGTGCCCATCTCCCCCTTTGTTCAATCCCTTCCCCCAGTGATCT